AGTTAAAAGATGAGTAGTGTCCGCAAGACTCAACTACACACCAAAAATCTTGACCAGCACCAAGAATTTTTATAGTTTTCGAAAAAAGCCTCGAAAAATACTTCTGAAGACTTCGAAGAAAGTTACGGATTTTAAAGTAAGGCATACCTTGCTGTTTTTGACTGGTAATGAAAGTTTTGATAAGCTGTTCTGTTGTCTGTGTGTACAGTGAGAGCGCATATTTGAGCGACTGCAGTTCCGGGGATTTCTCAAAGAACGATTTTTTGAGTCCTTGGCCCCCTGCATGGAAGCACTCCTTTACGGCATCGAGTGCTGCATCCAACACTGTGCACTGTTTAGGCGTTAATGAACGCTCATACTCACGTGCAATATCCTGAAGCATACAACAGTTCTTTGGATTTTCAGCTTTTGATGCAATGAGCTGAAAATCTCATGTCTCCATAAAATCAGTCGCCGGTCTGCACCACAATAATTCAGCTTTTAGAAGAAAAAAAGGGAAATTTGTTCCCGCATCCACCAGTAAGTCAAATGGGGAACTCTGGATTTTATGAAAAGAATTAAAAGAGTAAACGAGGCAAACCATCATTTCTTTGACGGAGATCATGCTTTTCACTTCTTTCAAATGGGTGGACATCAGTTTCGTCATGTCTCCAATCTTTGCATTCGGTAACTGCTTCAAAATCTGAAACAAACAGCAATTTGCATAGATTTTACAGCCGGCTCTGTATGGCTTTGCCTAAAAAGTAAAGAATAATAAATTTTTTATGAAAACATAGTCAGTCCGCTTTATTCGTTCTATTTTTGTTTTCTCCCTTCAAAATCAAAATCCAGGTCTTCATTCGCTCTGTAAGAACTCAAAGCATCCCAGAATGGTACGAGTGGTACCGACAATACCACCAGCTAGTAAGGCTCTTGATGCCTTCCTCTTTTGAAAATTGCCCACAACAAGCAAGCTGATGGCAGTTTCAACTCTTTGGCAAAATCAAACCAACCTGCGGAAAAAGTGATCGAATAAATGTTTGTTTTTGATAATTATAGAAATTTTATATTGATAAATAAAAGTTCATAATGTTGCGCTTAAAATTTTTCTAAATCCGGCAAAAAACAGCTACAATCGTGAAAGTTTACACTTCTACT